TGTAGTAATTTATCGCTGGCGTTGTTGGTGTTGTTTGTGGTGTATGCAAGCTACTGCCATTGCTATTCGTGCTAACATCCTTGCTTCCAGGCCCAAACGGTATAACAAATACGCTAGTTCTAGCATCGTGTTGCATTTTGATTACTGTCTCGTAGCTGGGTGGTGCGAACTCGCTGTACGATGGCGATGGTGTGGGTGGGGCAATTTGTATTTCATTGTCCAAAACATTGCTGCGATTCTCCGTACAGCGTCTATCTGAGCAAGCCATGAGCAGAAAGAAGGCGGCCAATGCCAGAAATGTGGCTACATACCAAACGATCGTTATAATATCCATGGCAGTCTGTGATAATTCGTTGGATTGTTCGCGTACTGCTGCAAGAAAGAGTGTGAAGAAAGACAGGCGGATTAGTAAGGAAAAAATAATTGGTAGGTATTTATGTACAGCTGAGGCAAAATAAATGAATGATGGTAGGAGAAACTAATGAGGAACATTTATTGTACTGTGATTATTGAGTCATACTAAATTGAAAAAAAAAGTAAGTGCGCCTGGGCCACACTGGAGAAGTAAAGCTTACGTTACATATCTAGTTTGTCTCATAACCAATATACATACAAAAGTACATACATACATACATCTGTTTTTGCTTAAGGTTACACTTTAGTCTTTTTTCTATGTGGATACTACATCTGCCCCTGTTCGTCCTAATTACATTTATGTTACTCTGTTTTCCTTTATCTTTATACTCTATCGATAAAAAAATCGATAGTAACATCGAACAAAATGTCGATAACAAAACCGATAGAAATATCGATATCAAATTCGATAAAAATTTCGACAGCAAAATCGATTACAATATTGATAGCAAACTCAATTAAAAAATCTATAAAAATATCGATAACAAAATCTATAAAAATATCGATAACAAAATCTATAAAAATATAGACAGCAAAATCGATAAACAATTGATAACAAAACCTATAAACAATCGATAACAAAATCGATTAGAGAATCGGTAAAAATAACGATAAAAATCAGTAAAAAAATCGATAACAAAATCGATAAATTATCGATAAAATATCTATATTAAATTCGATAACAAAATCGATAACAACATCGATAACAAAACCAATAACTATATCGATAAAAAGTATTTACTTTCATGCTTGTATTTGTCTTTCTCTAAGTGTTATTCCTTAACCTTTTATTTAATTTATTTTTTAACTTATACGATGTGCATACACTCAAGAAGCACTTGTTTCAATTCGAACCATTTCCGTTGCACCATTTCCGTGTGTAATTTCCGTTGAATTTGCCAATTTACTCCCAACCACACAACCGCCTCTAAAGAAGTTTCACTTCAAAAAACTCACGCACACTCATGTAAATTGCGTTCTAGACGAGTTTGTTTCTTTACCTATGCATATTTCATTATTATCAATTCAAATTGACTTTACATACAAACATACTTATATGCCATTTCCCCACAAATGGCTTTTCTTATACGTATGTATGCAACAAACAATGAAAGTGAAAATGTCAAAACCATTTATAATGCAATTTAGAGGTCAGTTACTTTGTTATATTTATGGCTAGCTCTGTAAGAATTATGGGTGCGCTATAAATATTTCGTCACTGTAAAACGATAAATAACCGCGATAACATAATCATAGTATCTTTAATGTGATTAACACATAAGAGCCTCTTTTGAGTGCTTAGCCGCGGCAGCTGAATGGCTTGAAGTGCGTTCTACTAGATGGGCAGCCCCGGTTCTATGTCTGTTCCAGTGCAGAAAACTAATTCAATTAAACACAATTAAACAAACTCAATGCCCTCGTTAGTTCTGAATGAAAGTAAAGAAGATCATTATTTGATATCCATTTTTTTTAGTATAGTATTTCACGTGAAAATGCGAGTTAAAAATTTTATAAAAATTTAAAAAAAATGTCAACAAAGAGGCCTACAAGACCTACAGTGGTGAATAAGTTAATAACATTTCCAAAAAAAAGTTTGGATATGCATTTTGTAGTCCATATAATTTTAGTGTAAAGTGCAAGTTTGTAGTGGCTGTAAAATAGGTTGATTTTTGACAATTCTTTTTTTCTTTGTTGACGGTGCTGCGCATTTTCTTCCATACAAAGTATGTATGCTCGAAAAAATTGCAAAAAATCAACACTAGTTTACAGCAATTGAAACTTACCCTTTATTGATGGCTACGAAATTGCATATCCGAAATTAGTCTAAAAAATATTAAAAAAGGACTTTGTTATTGTAAAAGTAAATTTTGGTTCCTTTGCATTTTGTAAGAGCGATTATTCTTACGATTGGTAGTTGGCACCAGCTAATTCTCTTGAGGCTCCACAAAAGAGGAAGCAGTGGAGTTTATCGAACTCTATTCCTGCATAATGCCTACTTTGACCAAAACAAGAAACTTTTTCTGCAATAAGTACCGTATATACTTTTTTTTATATCACTCGGGTCAGACCTAG